AAAAAAAAAAAAAATGCACTATACTGAGGTAAAACCATATTTTAGTTAAAAAAGAGAACGCAAATGACCTTAATTCTTTCAGTTAAAAAAAAAGAGAGAAAGAAACAGCAAGGTGGGCCACTCTAGTTTGAGGGAGTAAACAAGCCCAATTCATTTTGAACTATTTATTTGGTTGCACGACGTTTCTTATATCTCTAATTATAATCATCGTTTGCCTAAGTTATTAGCCATCATATACGACACGTAATACAATAAACAAACGCTGATAAATAGCCTCAATGAAGAAGTGAGTGTTTAAAGGGGCGTCTGAAATTTGAATTCACATTTTTCTCCAAAAACCATATTTTCAAAACATGACGATTCAACCACTCGGGCCATTTGCAAAACCTATTTTGAAACGATTTAATTTGGTATAATTACTCCTTGACTTACATTTAAATTAAGACATCTGCACATTGGTAGCTATATTTCAACATAGCAACGCCCAGAACAACGGTTGTTTACAGTCAAAAAGTACTTTCAAAATGGATTCAGTTCAGTACATTTTAATTATACTTTCAAGCAGGAAAGCTTTAAAGATGTGTGCTTGTGAGAATTTTGCATCATTGTTTCCTCTACCATCTTATACGCCGCTTATACTTGGTTAACATTTCTCTTACCGATGTGCATTAGGGAATTCAATGAAACATTTATGTAACTCCTTTCTATACATCCCCTTCCCTGCCTCTGCACCCCCGTTCACCGGGCTAATTTGGGATCTTGGAGACCGCAGTAAGACTTTAAAACCTTATTTCTCAGAAATACCAAATAGCAGATCACCAATATTTCAAGCGCAATATCTCCATTGGGTTTTAACCGAATTTTGTCAAATTCTCAAGATTAGTAAAGGACACAATAATCTAGGTTATCAAATTTATGAAATGTTTTCCCTGTCAGTCAGTGAATATAGTTACTATTAGTACAAGCAATAGACTGCAAAGCTGATACTACGTGAAAAACGTGTCGAGACACCAACATGACAAGAACCGATAAAGTAGGATCGCAACAGTGTACAGCTGTTTCGCCCTTCTTGGGGCTCGTCAGCACTGTATAGCAAAGATATGCTTGCAGTTTCTGGTTACTATTGGTCAACTTTTTCCCATTTCAACTTTTTCCCATTTCCCTCGAAACACTGTTCTTATGGACAGGATGAACTTAATTCCATCAAAATAAAGTTCAAAAGTCATTTTTAGGATATAAGACCCCATTAAGGGAAGACTGGGTACTTGCAGCGGTTTTACTGAAACTTTTCCATACGACACAAAATTTCGCATTTTCTTGGTTTGGAAAACCGCACACATAGAAAAGGTCCGCAGCATGTGCATAGACCTCGGTTAAGTAGGAATCTGTCTGAGAACCCCTATTGGTAGTCACGAAGAGGCGCTTCCTCGGGACAGCATGCCGTTCATATTTTGCTTGAAATCATACGTGCCCAAACTACACATTTTGATCAAGCTTGGGTACAACTGCGCCAACACTAGCTTAGAACAACAAAACAGTAATCTAGAAAGTACTGACACGATACAAGACCCGGTTCGTTTGCTCGACGTTCATCCATGTGCGTTTTTTAATCACGTGACATTGTTGTCCCATTTAACTACAAAATTGCAAGGAGAGAGGGGAGTGTTTGTTAGAAAAGTCTTCAAATAGGCTTTGAGAGCGCGCCCACACGTTTGAGGCAGTACTCGATGATTTAATTCAAGCAAATAAAGGACGAAGAACGCCAATACATATAAATATATACGAGGTTTAATTTCAAACCATGAATACCGGTAAAAATTAGAAAAACATTCAACATTTAATCAGTGTTCGTTCATTCCGAAAGCTATGATCACTTCGGTTAAGGTGCCAAAACAAACAAATCGAATTAATCAATCAAACCAAAACACCTCTCTCCACTCATTATTATTATTATTATTATTATCGTTACCGTTATCGTTATCGTTATCGTTATTATTGCTATTCAAACTACGAGGATCACTGGAGTCCCGGGAATTGCAGATTCATCGGACACGAAGTCGGCTACTTTTGCTTCCATGCTCGCGCGGTATCCCTCCCTGTGATACGCCGAGAACATTGTTGGTGTCAAAAACTGATTATTGGTTGAATGGTGTGGAAAAGACCCACAAATGGCCTCAGACAGGCCACGGCATGTGTTTCCATGGCAACACTCACAGCAACAGAACGTCAGACGATCAACTTCTTCGGCTGATAATTCCGGTCCAGTTCCCCAAAGGCCTGCCTCAAGGTCCACATCAATGTCACGCAACGCTTCCTCCCATGTCATGTACTTTGAGGTTTTGACTGCTTTGTTAGGATGCCTAGGAGCTATGTACAGGATTTCTCCTTCGCCAACTTTAGTCTTTCCGTCGGTGTAAGGATTCTTGTCATAATAATACACTTTGAATCTGAATAAAATGATAATAATAATGATAATAATAATAATAATAATAATAATGATGATGATGATGATGATGATAATAATAAAATTTAAGTTAACTCTATTAGTTTAATACAATTCTATTCCTTCCTTCCTTCTTCCTTCATTCATTCGTTCAAAACCATTAAATAAACAGACTTTTAATTGTACTACTCTTCATTGCTTTGTTGTAATATATCAAACACGAAAGACCGTGTTTGAACACATTTTCAAAAGCCAGCCCAGAATAAGGTTGAAAACGCGACACGTAGCGGAGTATTTTGTACGAACTTTAATTTGAGGTGTTTTGTAATGTGGTAAAACACGGTATTTCGTGTTTGATACACTTCTCGATCGAGACTAATAAAAGAGGAGACAAAACGGCGAAATGAATTCGTAAAGATCTATGGTAATTAAGATCTGATATCCTAACACCGACAAGGTTATGGTTTACTTTGTTTAAACTTAACTAGACTTCTGAGGACATTGGTTATAATGAAGTGTTATAGGTAAAAGATATGACACAGTCTCTATACGAGCCAAGTGGGCCGATGCTAACCCCGGTTTCAGTAGGATGAGGCGACTAGGAATATTTCTCCATGGATGGGATGCTAGTCCATGGGTTGAGAGAGGCACTGCGAGAGTAAAGTGTCGTGCCCCAAAACGCAACATTATATCTTCGACCAGGGCTCGAATCCGGAATGCTCGATCCGGAGCGAGCACACGTACACGAACCATGAGGCCACCGCCCCTCCACATGATGAAATGCTATGAGTAATGGTAATTGGACCTCGTGTCGTGCAATTCAAGGAATAATCGCGCAAGCGCTCAGGGTAAGGCCGGCACGATTACTCGCTGAATTGTACGACAAGAGATCCAGTTACTAATTAATCCTATCGATAACAAATTTCGAGTTTAAGGTTGCTCAGTCACGGTTGCTCATATTGAAAAGATTAGCCTCAATTTTTCAAATTCGTCCTTTGTAATCCGTGTTAATCTTCTCCATCCTTAGCCATCCTTCTTCCTCTATGGTTTATCATTATGTCTTTGGTGTTTTTCTATCTTATTAAACTGTTATTTTCAGGTTTCCTACCATTTAAAGGTAATTTTATACGTGGCCAAAATATCTCAAAATACCTTGAGAGCTCCTTTACGAAGTAATTAAGAAATACATGTACTTTTAAGCACAAAAGTCGGTAGTATTTTTACAAACAGTAGGAAGAAGTTAAGAAAGCTATTAAAGCACACAATTGATATGCGAATGCCAATTACAGAAAGTTGTAAATGGATACCTGTAATTAGACACTCGTGCGATCGAACTCCAATTAAGTGTCAGAAAAGCTCGTGGAGAACTAATCAGAATATAGAAATTTTGTTATAGATACGATTACTATTATTATTGGATCCCTGGAAGCATGTCGCATATCATACAACACTTGGCCCTCAAAGGCCTTCTTTCTCATTATACCTATAACTGCTTGGTTGCGATCCGGGACTTCTCTCCACAAACTTGTCTCGAATATCCTCAGCAATATCTCGTCCATCCATTCCTAAGAACGAGCATCCTAACTTCTTCCTGGCAAGGTCCAAAGCTAGCAGAAGCTCTCGCCCGTAGTCTAGGTCCGATAGCATGCGACCACCATCTACTGCGATGATTTTCTTCAGTCTCAGCTTTAGCAGGGGTAGAATACCAAGGTTTTCAATATGGCCGCCGTCGCTCAGGGATAGAACTGGCGGGGGATTGGGACCCAGGTTTGTCATTTGCATCATTTTACGTAGGAATTGAATAAAACTCATGTTGATCGTGAACCATCTGTTGGAAAGAGTTCATAGGAGTTCAAGGCTGGGTTTCGCAAGTAACAGAGGGCCAGCGTCGTAATCAGAAGCGCAAAGCGACACGATTTAGTGAAAGTTTAACTGAAGGAGTCTGAGGTAGGATACGGATTCCGCTTATGACTCTTTCGCTTATTATCTGGTGAAAACTAAATTGTCGGAGTCGGAAGCAAAAGCTGAACTAGCAAAATAAACCAATCATGCACATGTTCGATTCCGGGCCAAGTGATTGGTTTGTTCTTCCGCTTCTGTTTTCTTCTCCGACAATCTAGTTTTCACCAGATAGACGGAGTCGTAAGCAGAATCGGAAGAAAATGGAAACGTTCTGACTCTTCCGATCCGACTCCGATTCCGTCTTGCTTATGACTCCACTTACGACTCCGAGCTTCTTTTTTCGCTAGGTCGTAAGCGACCTTACAACTCCGACTGCGACTTTGACTTCTTCAGTAATAAAAACAACCCTTTTAAGGGGTGAAAACTTGTTTGCGATGTTCCAAGAATTACAGATTGACAATAACGTTTCACTTTCTTAGTTAGCTACTTAGTTAAACTCTATAGAGTATTTTGAAAATAGCAAATATCAAATGAGCATTGCATTGCACGTGCAGTGATATATTGATATGATTTTAGCACTGTCCGTTGCAAAACAACAGCATGAATTCGATGTGACCACAAATTTGTACCTTTCTGGTGAAAGAGATGGACAGAAGCGAATAAACCATTTCAGAGTTGCTCAGTGTTACCTCTGTTTGACACTGAATCTTGGTGCACAACCGTTCATATGGAAATGAGATTCTCATTTACTTTCATTGTCTTGTGCGGGTTTATAAGTAGTTTTATTATATCTCTCAGTTAGTACGGGCGTTGTGATTGGTCAATTTAGCGGGCCGTATTCTCCCGTACGGCCCACTAAAATTTAAAGTTGTTTTTGTTGCCAAACTGTTCCGTGATTTATCGCCAAGTGTTCTTAACTTTTGCAGCAAGTAAAAGTTTAAAACTTTCTTTTTCTCTAAATTGTGTATTAAAGCGTGCTAACGACTTAAAAACGATTTCAAATTGGCTCGTTTTGCTTTTGACGTGCGTCAGAAATTTGAAGCCGTTCCGTGTGAATAGAAATCGTTCACGAACGCGCGTCAGGTACACAGTAGAGATGTAATAAATATCTTACTAAACTCGTTTTCTTGGTCCGTACTGTAAGCTACGGACCCTCGTTTTTTCCCCTCCGATTTATGGCCCGCGCGCTTCGCGCTTGGGCCATAAGTCGATGGGGAAAAAAACTCGGTCCGTAACTTACAGTACGGACCTCGAACTCGGTTAGTAAGAAGTACACATTTTCTTAAACATTGTAATGAGCAGCTGAAAATGTGATATTGATATCTGCGCAATATAAGTTAATTATTATTATTATTATTATTATTATTATTATTAATAAATTAAACTCATTTGCATATGAAAATTTGTGCACCGATCAGGACTCGTTTTGAAACAGAGGTAAAAAAGCAACTCAGAGTTGGCTTATTGTATAGCTGTGGATAGTTCGCACACCTGCACAGATTGAATTGGATCTAGACAATTGCAATAGGCTAAAGTTAACTATTAATAGAGCATATACACATGACGTCATGGCAGCCATATTGGTGTTCCATAACAATGAAACGGCGGCCATGTTGGTGTACCAAAAACACGTTCTAAAAGCAAATGGGATAATCTAAAACGCCGATATTTTGGCAATAATCAGCCACTTCAGTGAAATTTTTACCAGGTGCGGTCAAAAGCGAAGTAAGGCTGGCAAGTTTCTAAAGAAGAAGTTAAATTTTGCAACAAAGTTACTTCCTATGGTAAAATTTACCTCAAAGAGCATGATTTCTTTCAAACGCAGGTGAAAAGAAAAACTTGCACTACACATGCTACGGTACATGGAAATTTCCATGTACCTTCCTGTACTACACATGTTAAGGTACATGGAAATTTCCATGTACCTTC